TTCGTTCCAAATCTTTTTGGTTGGATGTTGGATACGACAGGTTACTAAAAATCTATAATTTATGGATTGCATCTTCTGTAGGACGTGATTACTTTCATAATGTTAATGTATGGACTGGAGGTCGTCGGGAATGCCTCCGTTTAGCTGAACTGCAGACATTTGTTAAAGGGTCTCTTATTTGTCATCTAAGAGAAGATCCAAAGGTTTTGTGTTCCAAGCTTGCAAAATTTTCACCAAAACGGATGTGTTCTATATGTAAAAGATCACGCTGATGCATCATCTGTTCCAATAGCATTATGATACAGCAGTTGACCATGGTAAAATCAGAAAAACATTACTTGTCAGACTAGTGCAATTATGTGAAATAATAATAAGAAAAAAGTGAGAACACCATGAACGAAAACAAATGCCAGTACTGTAATAAAACATTTACTAGAAAAGGATCTTGCTACGAACATGAAAGAATTCATACAGGATGGAAACCATACAAATGCCAGTTCTGGTTCTGTAATAAGAAGTTTACGAAAAGATATAATTGCATTGTTCATGAAAGAACTCACACTGGAGAGAAACCGTTCAAATGCCAGTACTGCGATAAGACATTTACTCGTAAAGAGGCGTGCATTCACCATGAAAAAAGTCACACTGAGGAGAAACCATACAAATGCCAGTACTGTAACAAGACATTTAATATAAAAAATGATTGTGTTGATCATGAAATTATTCACAAAAAAGATAAACCGTGCAAGTGCAAGTTTTGTTACAAGATGTTTGTCAGCAGAAATGAATGTGATCAGCATGAAAAAGATCACACTGATGCATCATCTGTTTTGATAGCACATGGTCAGAATGACATAGAAGTTGATCATGGTAATATTTTAGTCTGTCAGAATAGTGCTGGAATATCACCTCTCATGGTTAAAGGTGAAAATGAAGATTATGGCCATGCAGCGGAACGACCATATCCTGTTGCTTTGTTTAAAAATGTATTTGCTTAGTGTTTTAACCAAGTTTTAAAAATGTTTTAAAATGTGTATTATGATATTATATTATTATGATATTATGATATGGCAATTGGAAGGTAAAAGTGTATTGTATATGTTAGTGTATGGTACCGTAAAACGTAGTTAATTTGAAATAGCACAACTCCTAATCTGTATGGAAAAAATGGACACCACTTTCACTGAACATTGCATTTGACAAGCTTTACAAAATGCTACAAACAAGAGGTCTGAATGGTTCCAAAATTAGTTTTCAGTTTCGTAATCTTATGACTGCTTCTCCCATATGAAAGTGCACCAAGTGACCCCAAACTCACTTAGATGAAAGGAGACCCTAAGTGTAACCCCTCACCATAAAATAAGGCAAAGGTCTGTGTAGTGCCTGAATATTGCCACAAACATTTTTTAGTAAGAAATGAACATTTTTACAAAACTGTGACCCATTTGATTTTGAAATAAAGGTAAAAAGTCAAATTCAAGGTCACAGTTGAAATCTCAACATAGAATTTTAGAAAAGACTTCCATAGAAACTTTTTCCATAACTCCTTTGGTTTGGGAGATATTAACATTAAATTTTCAAAAAGTTTGACAAGGATGCATTGCGAAAAGTGTCACTAGTGCAATTTTAATCAGGTGGCATGACAGACATGTTTTTTGTCATAATATAGTAGAAAAGTTTTGAAACAATGAGGACACAAAATAAAACAGAAAATATATACTGAAACTATCTTGTGACTTTATTTCCTTCCATTATGTACATAAGTGTATCATAGATGCATTCTGGGAATTTTAGAATGTGATGAATAATTTACTGTCAAAGAATTAAGATTTTTAATTAATCATAATGATCATTCACTCAGATGTTACAATATTGATTATTATATAGTTAATGACGGATAAAAGTAATCATATAAATCAAAATGATAAAAAAGAATTTAAACTTAAATGCAAAACATCAATCAAAATTAACAGTAAAATCATAGCAAAATTACTTTACAAGCACTTGGAGCTCAATTTCCTCGATCACTTGTGATTTTGAATTGCACTTCGGTGATGGATCAGTACTTGTGCTATTTACATAGGATTCCTTGAAACTGATTTAATTTTATTGAATGAAACTGAATTGTAAAAAATAATATTATTTAAGGCAGGTCATTTACTTCTCCCAGTCTCTTGGGTGCAGCAGGCCTGGCATCTAGTGTTATTTTTAAGTCTGGCATTCTCCCAGTCTCTGGAGTACTGCAGGCCTGGCATCCAGTATTATTTTTATGAAGTCTATCATTCTCCCAGTCTCTGGAGTACTGCAGGCCTGGCATCCAGTATTATTTTTATGAAGTCTCTCACATCTTGACTGTTATGGACCACCTCAGCATCACAACTCTCCAGAAGGTCTTCCACAGTTAAAGCTGCAATGTCCAGTGAGTTCACATAGCTTTCAATTCTCTCCTTTATTTGAGTAAGTAGAAGGACATTTTCCCTTAGAAATGGCAACATGGCCCCAAACGCCCTTCTCTGTGACCTTGCCTCTTGAGTGATGATGACACAATTGTCACATTTTTCATGAATTGTGATGACGCATTTTTTACATAACAAAGTTTTCTTATTTTTGCAGAAATAATGGAGTTCTTGGTCCGGATGACTGGGGCAATTCATTCCAACTGTACTCCAAATTGACGGAATTCCCTGTAATTTATCATGAAATTGATTCAATGCAGTTTTTGTTTTAAATTCTTTTTCAGCTTTACTTTGAGGATGTTGCTCCAGTTTTTGTACGTTTTCTGCTGGAAAATGATAACTCTGCGAACAGCCCTCCTTGGCAGCTTGGCAGACATAACAGGGATTCACACCACCTTGTTCCGCCCAGGTTAACACACACTCTAAACAGAAAGAGTGACCGCAGGGAAGGACGCGAGGGTCACTCAGGTCATCTTGACATAGTGGACACCTCTGTGATGCAGCCTCCATTTTGTCCTCTACCTTGCTGCTGATGGTGGCCATAAAGAACTTCAAGTGGGCCAAGCACGGTATATTCTAGGCCTTCACACAAAAAAGTGAAAAGGGTGAAAATATCATAAAGAATTCCATCTTGTATTGTTTCATCAGGGTCTTAATTTGTACAGTATCAGGTTTATTATTTGTAATAGTTAAACTAAATGTTAAATATATACAGGGGTACCACTGTCTGTATTTCAAAGAAGAGATTGTCTAATTACACTTAATTTCTGAAACCTTTTCTTCAGTATTTTTGTCATCAGTGTAGTGGTATGCTGGCATTTTCTGTATCAATATCTATTTTTCTGTGTATCAAAAATGAGAAGAAACAAAAGCATGCAGATAAGAACCTGCAAATACATTAGATAACTTACACTAGGTTTATATCTTCACTGTCCTCCTAGCTCTTATCATTTCCAAATAAACTTTCTTTCACTAAACTTTTGCCAAGAATAGCCTGGGTTGTAGTATTCATCTCTAAGGTGACTTTGCCAAAATACCTTGTGGCTCTTTTACTAAGCTTTTGTTGAATTTAGTTTGACATTTTTGTGGCTTACCTGGTTACTGTAAAATAAATTCCTCACATAGTGATATATTATGTGTATTGTACTCTGATTGTCATGTATATCACAGTATGGCAAAATTTGTGACATAATTATGTAGTCAAGTTTCAATACCAAACATCAGTCCCCCACACACAGTGACACATGGAGAGAGAAACCCTTTCCCAAGGAATGAAATTTTTACTTTGATCATTATGATTTAAAACTAAATCAGTAATATGTCAAATGAATGAGAAAAAACAAGGAGACATTACCAACAGTATGAATGTACCATACCCAAGTGATGAGAAAGGTGAAATTTTGTCGTTTTTAAAATATAATTTTTTGGGAAGTTACCTTATTCTCAAATTCATATTGTTCAGTACAATTGCGTCTTTCTCTCTCTTTTTTTTTCTATGACAAAATTCAACACAAATATGAAAAACCTGGATGGCACAAAGGAGGGGTGGGGGGCAAAAATTAGCGCAAAAGAAATCTGGATGAAGATCCATTCTTCTGAAGGAGGGGCACAATTTCCTTTCTTTTGTGTTGTAAATGTTATTTTTAAATTCATTGCAACATGTCCCTTTTAGTTAAAAGCAGGTGATGATGATGAACTAGTAGACTATAAATAGAATTATCATGAGCACCTTTAAACTTCCATTTTCTCTATTCACACTGAAGAATTCAATATTGATAACATCACACAGAATACAATTGTGCATATTCTCTCCTTTACTAAAATATTCCCTTTTACAAAATGACCATTGAAGAGGTAACACAACCAATAGGAATAAGTCCTGAACTACAACATTTCTGACAAGATGGGCACTTCTGAGCACAAGGAATCACGATGATGAAACTTTTGAGCAACAAACAAATACCAACAATGATTTTAACTGTTACAAACAGTAAAAATGAATAAAAAGCAGTTTGAATTCACAAGAATATTTAACAAGTAAAATATTACCCTGGCACCACTACAGTAACACAAGTATGTTTTGATTGCTTTAAAGCAATAATAACTCTTCGTTTTGGCCAAAAAATGAATTTTCCTGGAGTAAACAACAATTTTCCCATGCTTACCAATGGTTAATGAATCCATTTTTACATTCAAAGTTAGTCCCTGGTTTTTTTCTAAAAAGTTTAGTTTTTTGTTAAAATCTCTTAAGAGATTTTAACAGAGTATAGACATCAATGGAGGTCACGTGGTCTAAAGACAAGTTCAAATATCAGAATAAAAGCTATAACTGCTGTTTTTATGGTAAAACAGAATATATTATATTTCTATGAGTTATTCACAAGGTTTTTATTGTGAAATATAGGTCTCATACAAAGAGTTATTATGCCTTTAACCTTTTTTTTCATGCAAAATATATATTCCAGATATTCAGTAGTTAAACCAGTTTTTTTTTTGTTTTTTTTTTTTTTTTTTTTTTTTTTGGGGGGGGGGGGGGGGGGGGNCGACTTCAGGGCCTTCAGCTGGTTATTTGCAGTACCTGTAGATAAATAAGCAAATCATTATAATAATTACCATTATTACCTGATACTGTCTGAGCATCTGAGAAAAATAATTGAGCTGACCATTACATCATGTGCCATCACTAGGGTTTTTTTTTTTTTTTTTTTAGATGTGAGTGGACATATAGTGACATTATAGTGAGACAATACAGTCAAAAACTTTCAAACAATTTCTACAGTGTTTTTGGTATGCCAGTTTGGGCATTCTGTGGTTCATGTATCTACTGTGTATTTGTATAATGTAAGAAACTGGTGCAAATAATTCATATATAAATTATAGGGCATTTACTCTTGCTTCATATCTATCTTAAAGGACAAACAAATACAATGTAAACCCTCCCATATAGACCAATCACCTGGTCTTGGCTGGGACATCCTAGCCAGAGCTGCCTCCCGTGCAGCTCGTGCAGCCTCGCTTTCAGCCTGAGGCCGCCCCTGACTGGTGCCAGGGCGTTGACTTGGCTGTGGTGACAAGCTCCTGGTGTCCTCTGTCAGTTTGTGGCCAGAACCAGCCTTCTTGAACTTGACATCTAGTTTTTTCTTCTCAAAAAATCGTTTGATAGCTGCCATGATGGTCAATTAACTTTCTGAAATGATGAAAAATTTTGTCACAGTATGTAATGTTCCTTACACAGTGTCCAAAGCATTTCGAAAAAAATTGGCTCTCTTTTTGATTTGGTTAAAAGATTTTCTAACTACTGGCTAAAGAAAAGATTACATTAGAAAGAGCCCTGCTGGAACCTAATGAAATCAGCTGTAAGCACTTTTAACATGAATCATTGAATTCAATTAGTTTTTTTATTCTTTCAATTAATGCTTTTCATTTTCTTTGAGTAAATTATCTTAAACAACTGGCAAAGATACTACATGTACCAGTAAACAACCAGTGGTGTTAGTTACCACAAAAACTATAAACAAGTACTAGTAGGTTTGGCATATCATAGTAAATAAACTGGACATTTAGACTAACAGTGTTCTTAAGCCCAGTGGTCAACATGACCAGTGCATTGACCAGTGGGATGGGAAGTTTAAGGTGGAGAATTCATATGTACATGTACCATACAAACCTGTTTCTTGAAAATGTGTTACTCTCTTTTCAAGTGCTGAGAACGAGGAGTGGAATTCACGCTGTCTTTTGTGTCTACAGGAGCTGAATCTTGTGTGTATCCTGTCTCTGATACACCTGAAAATTAAAATGACACCATGATACTTTACAATTCAAGATTTGAAATCAATAAATCCTCTACTGTACATGTGTAATATCATTATCATGCTATAAACTGTGAGGTTCACAAAATTGTGTATTTGGCAAGTGTAACAGTAGGTTGTTTCACTTTCATTACAGGACTTTGTCATAAAGTGTAACAATAAGATTCATTATTAAGTGAAAATACATGTAATGTTTTGGCAAGTGTACCAGTAGGTTCTTTCACTTACATTATATAAAGACTTAGTGTAACATTAAGTTTCATTATAAGTGAATGGATATTTTGAAAATAATCGATAAAAGACTGAGGGTAGAATTGCAAATGTACTGGTAAATAATTTATATGTGTGAGATACGATCTTTAACATCAAATTCATATTCATAGGCGTAGACGACCCCGTCTTTTGACGTTTCAATCTAAGGTTCCGTTGATATGCAATGTACTAGTTACAATGTCCCACAAAAAATATAAACGAAAACATGTCATGGCTTACCTTGTTTCTTAAAGAAATCGACAATCCTTTCGCCGTAAATGGCCCAAGCAATTTTTATGAGGATACTATTAACAACAATAATTATGCTCAGAATGACAATAAATTTCAAGCGAAATTCTGCTTCCCAAAACCAGTTGCGAAACGCTTCCGAGTGGTCAGAAATCGCATCGACAACTGCGCTCACGCGGGGTTCTGGTTCTGTTGGTTTTACTGCTTCCCGAGGAACTTTTGACGAGACTTCCGTCAGGTTCATGCCACCAGACGACAGGCGTTTCAGGACCCCCTAATCTAATGTCACAAGCTTCCGTATATATGAAAATATCGATTACTTAGCTGATCGAAAGATGGCGAATTAGGCAAGATACGCCCATTCTGGACTGCTAAAATATCCAGTTCTCTTGGGTTTGTTCGTGTATTATCAATTTAAAGCGTTAAATGTTTTGGCACCAAGTTATTTCGACTTTGTAGCGGATACATAAAGTTTCCATTATTATGTTTTTAAAATGCTGCAGTGTTTAGTCAACCAGCTTTTCTGTTGACAGCGACTGAAGCTGCACTGCACGTGGCAAAGAAAACGTAAACAATCAAGTTATTGTATGTACGTGTTCGTCTTCAGCAAGATGGACACTAGCATCGGAGATCAGAATAGCTAATTGTATGTTTACTAGGGTTTGTACCGTGCTGTTATCCCGTGTCTTATTTAGCAGTCTAAAGTAAGATAAATTACTGGTATTTGTAACGTGCTACTCAGTAGGCCACCTAACGTACAGACTACTACCAGTATAACGTACTAGAGTATACGTACGTACAGTGCTCGGGCTGCAGGCTACAGTGCACATGTAACAGCAGACGTACATATATACCCAGTGGAGTCTACTCGAACCTGAGGTATGCTTTTCATTTAATTTTTTTTACCGGTATTTCAAATGGTACTTGCATTAGCTTTTTACCAACACTTTTCTGATGTGAAGAATATATTCTACTACATGTACAGCATCTGTTTTCACAGTTGTCAATATCTGACTACATGTACCATTAAAATGTTCACCTCTCTACTTTTTACCCCTCCCCCCCTAAAAAAAATAATAAAAAATTGACTCCTCAACAATATATGTTAAATAGCTTCATTTCTTCTAGTTAAAAGTGAAACAATAAGCAAAATATATATATAGATAATCTCTGCTAAGACTATGACAAATATATTATATTCATCAACCACAGTACAAATAACCAGAGTATAAATTTTGTCTTTTTTAGCTTACAGTAGATGTTACCAGTGCAAAATGATGAGGAAAAGATATCCAAGTGACACTTCGTGGGGATGCAACAAGAAACATTTAGCAATTTTCATGATTATTCTCATGTTGCTCTTTGGAATAAGTTCCCCGCTGTGGAATCTATTTGCCAGGGTGTCCCATGATGGATCAAAACCTTACCAGGTGCACATTTCGCTGGGCGACACTTTGTCTGAGATGACAGTGATGTGGGCTACAGTTGCAGAAGGGGAGGCTGGGGTACTGTATGGCAAAAGTTCCCAGCTGGATATGGTTGCCTTGGGTGAAAGCAAGAAATTTGTGAAAACCAACGAAGAGGGGATGCATAACATCCACAGAGTTCAGTTACGAAACCTGGAATTGGATACTGTTTATTATTATAAAGTGAGAACGGGAAGGTATTCCAGCAGGACCTTTTCTTTTAGAACTCTGTCAGAAGATTCTAACTGGACTCCTGAAGTGATAATTCTGGCTGACATGGGCAGCAGTTCCAAAAGTATCAGATCAGTCCAGACCCAAGTTCAAAGAGGGAATATCACAGCTGTATTCCATGTTGGAGACTTTGCATACAATCTCAATAGCAATGGTGGAGAAAGGGGAGACGAATTTCTCAACCGCATTGAAGGTATTGCATCCCGTACTCCTTACATGACATGTCCAGGGGATCACGAGGCCTTTGATAAATTCATGCACTACATGTACCGCTTTTCAATGCCTCATTCCCCCTGGCCTATTCCCCTGGATAAACTTTGGTATAGCATCAACATTGGGCAGGCCCATTTTGTCTTCTATTCCACTACTCTGTATCAGTCCAACCCAGAGGTTGCCAAGATCCAGAATGACTGGCTATTTAAAGACCTATCCCAAGCTAATAAAGAGAGAACTCTACGCCCGTGGATTGTTGTACTAGGCCATAAACCACTGTATTGTTCTAAGTCAGTTAAGTTCACCCAGGAATGCAACAGCAAGGACTCTGTCATAAGAGAGAATGTGGAAAGAATGTTTTATGATTTTAAAGTGAATTTGATATTTTCTGGACATGTGCATGCTTATGAGCGGTACTACCCCCTTTATGAAAATGTAGTCATGCAGAGGAATTATATAAATCCAGTTGCCCCTGTAAGTATTATAACAGCATTAACAGGGATATCAGTCGTCCCGGAGAGTTATGACGAAGAAAACCCTAGGACTGCATACAGAATGGCAAGTGAAAATCGAGAGGCATTTGGAAAGTTGAAAATTATCAATTCAACACATCTCTCCTGGGAAGTTGTGTATTCAGACACCTTGCAAAGTTTGGATAAAATGTTAATGGTTCAAACAAAATTACCAATTGTTACAGAGGAAACCATTTCTAGATTAAAATCTTACATGAAAGATAGAATTTTAGCTGATGCTAAATGGGTTCTTACTGAAAAGATTCATTCCACATTGTATCTAATTTTGTACCTTTTTGGTCTTTCAGCAATTCCAACTTTTTTAATAGTTCTTTTCAAGTTTTTGAGAAAATGATAAGAATTTATCAAAATAGCTTTTGGAAAATTGGTAGGTTTATTTTGGGATCAATTTTCTTTTAATTGTAAGTGAAAGAAATTGTATAATTGGCATCTATGGATGGGCTTTAGGTGTTGGTGGGGGGGGGGGGCTGAAAACAAATAACAACGATGAAAAGAATACTCATACTGCTCAAGTTTTAATTTAAAAAAGCTCTCAATTTTGCCGCTTGTATTCAGAATTCTGCTCAACTTGGACTTGAATTATCTTTATACTAATTTTAGATTACAGGAAGAAAAATTGAAGAGGGTATTTTTTGAGAAATGCCATTTGTTTCAGCATGTATCACTTCAGGGATCATCAAGAATATTTCCTCAAGTTGTGCATTATTACAAATTATACAAAAATTTGGATTTGGTTATTTCTGTAGTTCATTTTTTGTTGGCTTGTAATTAGATACTAGGATATTGTTATAGTAATATAATACTAATAATTTAATTATCTTTTAAAATCTACTATTAACTGGACCAGGTGTTGGAACATGAAAAATTGGTGCTTCTTCACAAGAATTTACTGCATTGACAATGGAGAACAAAAATAAATTCAAAAAGATTTTACAATTTTTATTGTAATTTTATGTATTTCTTACATTAGTAAATTGTGTGTATATCTGGGAATGTGGATTACAACAGTTTTTTTCTTTACGTCTGTGAAATAATGTATAAATTTAAATACTCAAATACTCGTGACTGATTTTACGGCATTGTGCACTGGTAGGAAAAAGTCAAGATATTCAAATGAAATGCCTTACAAATATTAAGCAACAATTTACAACATTTAATGGTACATTTTGAAGTCCTACAAAAGAGCTGCTCAATATAAAAATCTGAATTGCAAAGTTTTTAATTTTAACATGGTCTTACAGTCTATTTATGTTTTAGTTTTTGTTATGACTGGAGGTTGCTTTTGGTGCTGTATGCCAGGTACCATACTAGAATAGCAACACAGGTGGCCAAGGCTTCCGCTTGAATAAATGGTCCACTGTAGGTGCCCTGAAATATGGTAAAATGACACAGTAAGTATAAAATGGTCAGAACATCCAAAATATCTGCCATACTGGTGAAAGGAATTGAAGGAAGAAAAGTTTCGCCATATTACAAATGATTTACTTATTTACAATAATTACCCGAGAGACAGTGAAAAATTTTTATTTTACCTTATGTTGTGATTTATTTTGCACTTTTGCTTCTAAAATGTACTTAATTCAAGTATTTCATAAAGAAACCTAATATCTTCACACTTCGCTTTTCCATGCCTGGAAAAACATATTCAGTAATGCATAATCTGAACTTTCAAATTGATTAGCAGTGTTTACCAACCTTGTGGTTGACATCAATGGTGAAGAGTGGTTCAATATCAGCAGTGTTGTCTCCACTTCTCTGAGCCTTGAAATGAAAATAATGGAAACATAAGAAACCAAATGAGTGCTCACATCCTGCTTTTAGTCTTATTATATTTCACCAGATGAGAATAGAATGACAACTTTTTAGCAATGCAACTACATAACTGCAATCAGTTTCAGAAAGATCATATTAAAAAAAATTGTATCAGGATTCTTTTAAACTGCTCAAAAATGAATTTCAAAAACAGTCTCTTGGGTCAAAATATAAACATGGCAAGTTGGCAACAATAATCACTTAATAGATCCTAGTTGTAGGCAAGTTGCATCCTTGTTGTAGGCAAGTTCAAAGATTTTCAAAATTTAAAAATGCAGTTATTTTGTATTTTGACAGATGCAATATAACACTTTCACCTTCAGTATTAGGTTACAAGGCACATAATTTTTATAGATCACAAATCATACCTTTCTTAAAGCTGCATACTTGTCCTCATCAAAGAATCTGACTGTGTAGGTACCAGCAGGTATGTTCTTGTGGTCATCACTCCAGCTCACCTATATAATAAAGAAAAAAAAATTAATTGAAAATTATAAACAATTTATAATTCAGAATCAATATTGAACTTTAATGTAACACAAGTGTTTAAATAAAAAATAATAAATTAAATAATAAATAAATAAATAAAAATAGTAATTGCCAAATACTTCAAGCAATAATAACTCTTCATTTGAGATTCAAAATTCCGCAAGAAATACATTGTAAACAACGCCTGGAAATATATTCTATTGCATTTTCCCACTAAAACGACTGTTATTGTAGTAAAACTAAAATCTGTGCTTGTCACTTGGGCTTTCGATTCCTTTTTTCGCGGTCGACAAGTGCATCCGTTGCCAATGACGTTTAGGTGTCACGCGGATTCTCGCGTCCATTCGAGACCAAAATAGGGAAACCCTCAGACGTAAGTTGCGAGTTTTTGTAGAGTGCATCGGATAACGAAAAGCCCAGAATTGCACACATTGTAGATATAAATGCATTTTGAGCAAAAAGACGAACATATCTTATGAATCTTATAATATTGTTATATAGTGTTGTTGTTGTCTGCTTTTCCCGCGGTTTTAAGTAGGTCACCAGAAACCATCGCTCGATACAGGAGCTCTGTCAGTTAAAATCTCTTAAGAGATTTTAACAAAAAACCGTACGTTTAGGAAAAAACCCTGGATTAACTTTGAATGCAGGAATGGGGTCGTTGACCATTGGTAAGTACGGGAAAATTGCCGTTTTTTCCAGGAAAATCGTATTTTTGGCCAAAACGAAGTTATTATGACTTTCATATTGATCCCTTTCAAACACCCCTGAACAATTAGATATAAACTTACAGTGTATTTGTGATACATATTTTTAGCCTTTTTTGATAGAACGTGGAGTAATTACACGTCTTGGGTCTTACCTGGTATGTCTTGGAATTTTGACCTCTAGTGGCTGGCAGGGTACGGCCGTTAATCTCAGCATATAAATTTACATCCTAAAATATACAGGGCAATAAACATTTTCTTACAGTAAGAAAATTAAATTCAAATTTTCTCATTATGCAGAACTATATGCAAACACCATATGATAAGCATTTAGATTTAATCTAGAACAATTTCATTATCATTTCATCCAATTACAGGCAGCAAATATAACTAGCTAAAAGAAAGCACTCTCTTATCTGGTTGCATATCTTAAATGAGGTTTGTAACACAAAGTTAGGTCCAATGAGCTCATGTCTCCCCTTGTCTTGACATAATACTTTGGTGTGCAGACATAGGACTACAAGGAATTTTTCTAACTCTTTAACTCCTCCTTGTTTCTAATTAAAACTTTCAATTGATAACAGAGAAGTATGTAATGTAATGTAAATATTATACCTTCAAGTTATTGGCACAAGTCAAAGTAAACTCCACAATAACTACAGTCTCGGTTGCCATCATTGCTTCACTGCTTGTATAAGTCTGTGATACAACAGATGGGCGGAGGCAAGTGTCCCCTGGAAGGAAAACATAACAAAAAGATTAATAAACACAACAGTTGTTGGCAAACTGTTTGCACAGACTTTTACATGATTCACCAAACCCCTATACACTCTGACTCTAAATAAGTTCAATTCGTAGTGAATCAATTTGTGGAGGAAAAAAGTTCATGTGGTAGTGATGTCAGTTAAAATTGTGATAAAGTTGTGTGTAAGTAGTAAAAATTAACTTACTTTGTTTAAACCAAATGCTAGACGACACTGCCAAAAGCAGAACCATACATGCTAGAACATAGTTTAGTTGACATGAAGCGTCTCATCTTACAATTAAAATAGTTGCGAATGGAGACATTTACAGTTAAATTTACTCATTACCCTTGTGGAATCCTTAGGTAAAGATAACTGACGATGAAATAGTATCAGTTTTTGTGTTTGGCTGGACCCAACTGCGTGCCACGTCACACAACCGGCATCTTTTGAGGGCACTTTATAAGCAAACTGTGCCCTTATTGTCATTGTGTTTGGTCAATCTTTGCTCATTGTTTCTTGGAGTAGTTTCTGTAACAATACACTTAAACATACCTGAGGTAAAGACCGGCAAAACTGCCAAAATTGCGAGAGCTGCCAACACCATCCTGGAGGTCGCCATATCTGATCTCGAAAGGGGGAAATCCGAGATTTTGCGATACTTTCTCAATCCTGCTCTCATTGTGCAATCACAACTAGCACAATGTTGCAGAACGTCCGCAAAACTCACCTAAACCAATCTCTTAGAACCGATTTTATTTTTGGTCTTCTTTCAATTTGATGACTAATTGTTGTATAAGCATGTTGCATCAAAAGTACTCTTTGCATAACTAAGATTTGCGAGTAGTCTGCCGCTGCCTGTGATTTCTCAACGGGTGATTTTTTTTTGTAAATACAAGAAGAATTATCTCCTTGGTAAATATTGTAATAAATCAAAACACAATGTAAAATTTACAAATAAACGTTTATTGAAATTTAATATGTCACACTTTGATTTTTAAAAAATTCTAATCTGTTACTCTGGAACAATCAACAGGCTTGGTAATTACATTCCAGCTCCTGATATTAAACTATACACATCTCAAAAGTTCTTAAAACTGACTTTTCTATGAGAAATACAGAAAAAAATGGCATTTTCTCCATAAAATCTCAACTTTATCTTGTTAGAACTAACAGACTAGGTAATTATACTACTTAACTATATAAAACAAAGTTTAAAACTTATCTAGTATCAAAGTTCACCCCACAAAATGAGATTCTTGTACATATCATCCTGTACATCAGTGATTATGGTGGAAAGAAAGGAGATGAAAAAACAAAAGAGCACATGTGGGCAAATTTGCCTTTGGTTTTAATCACTGTTATTACATGATTGCAGTATATATCAAATTATTATTTATTTTCTAACTAATAATTAAGCCACATAAAACATTCTTCACATTGCTAAATTAAGCTTTATGTTGACTTTAAAAATGTTCATACTGACTTTAATTCCAGATGATTCAAATTTTTCCTCTCAAAGAAAGTGTAAAAAGTTTTGCTAAAAAATATGCTTTCTTTAAAACAAAACAAAAATAATTAATAATAATAATAATAATAATAATAATAATAATAATAATAATAATAATAATAATAATAATAATAATAATAAATAAATAAATAAATAAATAAATAAATAAAATGAAAAAAAATGCTTGCATGTAACCAAAATTGTACACAAGCTGTTCTCAAATACAACTTAAAAAATATGGTTACAAAATTGCAATGTAACTAACCATCTACTTTAAATTTATAATTTTCTTACTCAGATAAGAATTCTCTTATTTCTCAATACACTGAATAGTATACTCAGTGACTAATTACTTCATGCCATATCTCAGAAGCAGATCCCTTATTCTTCAATTTCCTCCTCTGAGGAAGACTCTATTATAACATCTAAATCAGAGTCCACTTCTCCACTGTCTGATAAACTGTTGCCAATTTCCTCAAAAGTCATATAAACTACTTGCGGAGCCTCTCTACTTTTGTGTACCTTGGAAGCCAAATCAATCTGATCTGACGAGTTTGTGTTTTGCTTTTTATCTGACACCCCCAGGTCTCCCTCAGAATCCACTGCAACTTCCTTTTCCTGAAGCAAATCTTTTGAAGTCTTCTCCTTGTCTGGGTCAGGATTTACAGTCACATTGGCAGTTTTTGCAGTTACATATATTAATTTGGGCTCTGTGACTGAATGCTCATTCAACTCTCCACATGCTTTATTCCCGACTTCAGTTGACGACTTCTGCTGGGTCTTGTTTAAATTTTCATTTGATGATGTTTGCTCTGTGTCTCTGTCCAAAAGGACATCTGAGGCTTGACATTCATTAGTGTTACTCTCCACTGTCACCCTGGACTGAAGCTGGGGTAGATCTGGCAAATTACACCCTACATAGGCTCCGTGTTCCACACAGTAGGACAGCAAGGACAACCAGTGTTCATCCTTCAAAGAAAGAAAATTAATTATCTTTAAACACAAAATACCAACAAAAGGCAACCTTACTGCGATATCATGTGACTGAGCTAAAGGAGTGGCTTTCCTTTACTCCTCTACTGAGGTTCATGTATTTTATTGCAACACACACACCTGCATATTCTGCATTTTCTTATGTGCCAGAGACTACCAAAATTGCATTTCTCCCTTTTTTTTATTAATTCACTGTTGAGAAATCATATATATATATATATATATATATATATATATATATATAGAGAGAGAGAGAGAGAGAGAGAGAGAGAGAGAGAGAGAGAGAGAGAGAGAGAGAGAGAGAGAGAGAGAGAGAGAGAGAG